TCCCATCAGGTATTTATACATGTTGATAATATCCCCCTGAGCTTTCGCTTCTCCATGCTGAGCAGTCCCAGATTTCTCAGCCTCTCTATGTCTGGCAGGTGCTCCAATCCTTTCATCATCTTTGTGGTCCTTCACTGGACTTACTCCAGTACGTCCATGTCTGTCTTGTATAGGGACCCCAGAACTGGACACAGCATCACTTCTGCATAGAGGGGCAGGATCACTTCCCTTCCCCTGTTGGTGATGCTCTTCTCAGTGCAGCTTAGGCCTTTGCCACAAGGGCATATTACTGGCTCATGGTCAACCTGGTGTCCACCAGGATCCCCAGGGAATTTTCTGACAAGCTGCTTTACAGCTGGTCAGCCCCCAGCCTGTGCTAGTACATAGGGTTATTACTCCCCTGGGGCATTAATTTGCACTTTTCTTTTGTTGGACTTCATGAGGTTCCTGTCAGCCCAGTTGTCCAACCTGTCAAGGTCCCTCTGAATGGCAGCACAAACATCTGGTGAAGCAACCACTGCCCCCAGTTTTGTGTCATCAGCAAACCTGCTATGGTGCACTCTGTCCCACCGTCCAGGTTGTTAATGCAGATGCTAAAAAGTATTGGCCCCAATGTTAGCCCCTAGCATACTCCACTAGTGCCTGGCCACTAGTTCAGCCAGATTAAAGTCCACCTTTCTGTCCACTTATCTAGCCTGCACGTCATGAGTCCGTCTGAGCATTTTATAGGAGACAGTGTTGAAAGCCTTACTTACAGTCAAGATAAACATCATCCACTGCTCTCCCCTCATCCACTGAGCTAGTAATTTCATCAGAGAAGGCTGTCAGCATCATTTCCCCTTTGTAAATTCATGATGACTACTCCCAATGATCTTCTTGTCCTTTATATGGTTCATCACCTTCCCAGCAGTTGAGATAAGGCTGACTGTTCCAGTTTCCCAGATACTGCTTCTTGAACATAGGAGTGACATGCTTTCGTCCAGTCCTCAGGAACCTCCTATGATAGCCATGACCTTTCAGAGATTGTCGAGCTTCTCTCAACACTCATAGGTGCTTCACACCATTTCCCATGGATGTGTGCATGTCCAGTTTATTTAAAAGTTTCCTGATCTGATCCTCCTCCATTAGGAGTCACTGGGACCTGGGATTGCTGGATGCAAGTGTTACCTTTAAAGACAGAGCTGAAGAAGGCATTGAATGATTTGGCCTTATTTATGTCCTTTGCTCCCAGATGCCCTGTGGTTTTCATCAGTAAGCCCACTTTATCCCTTGTCTTTATTTTGCTGCTAATGTACCTGCAGAAGCCTGTTGTTGCCCTTCATGTCCCTCACCATATACAAGTCCACATAGATTTTGGCTTTCTTAACTGTATCCCTGCATGCTTAGATGATGTATCTGAATTCTTCCTGGTCTCCTGTCCCTGCTTCTACATCTTGTATCCTCCCTTTTACATTGAGTTTAGTCAGGGGAGGTCCTTGTTCATCCATGCAAGCCTTCTGCTACCTTTGCTTGACTTCTTGCTCATTGGAATGGACTATTGTTGATCTCAGAGTAGGTGATCCTTGAAAATCAACCAACTCTCATGGACCCTTCTTCTCTCCAGGCTGATATTATACTAGATTCTTCCATGTAGGTCCCTGAAAATGCCCAGGTCTGCTCTCCTGAAATCCAGGGCTGTGATCCTGCTTTTTGCCTCTCTCCCTGTTCTCAGGATTCTGAACTCCCATTATTTCAAGGTTGCTGCAGACAAGGCTGCCCATGACCTTTACATCCCTGATCAGTTCTTCCTTGTTTGTAAGTATGTGGTCCAGTAATGTGTCTCCCCTCATCAGCCTGTTGATCGCCTGTGGCAAGAAGTTATCAACAAAGCACTACAGAAACCTTCTGGATTGCTTGTGCCCTTCTGTGTTGTCCCTCCAGCATATGCTAGAGTGGTTCAAGCCCCCCATCAAGACCAGGGCCTGCAAACATGAATCTTTGTCCAGTTTTCTGAAGAGGACTTCATTCTTCCTGATCAGAAGGGATCAGCAAGCAGCCGCCATATCAGCCACATTGGTCTTCCCACACCTGACCCACGTGCTCTCAGCTGGCTCATTACCCATCCCAAGGCAGAGCTCCATCCATTGACATTACTCTTTCACATAAAGGACAACTTCTTGCCATCCCAGCCTATCATAGAATTGTTTAGGTTGGAAAAGACCTTTAAGATCATGAAGTCCAACTACCCTTCCTGCAGAGCCTGTATCCATGCATGGCAGCACTCCAGTCATGTGAGTTATCCCACCTTGTCTCCATGATACCAATGAGCCCTACAACTTCAGACAGATCTCAGATTCCTCCTGTCATCTTCCGTGGGGACATGCTGTGTGTGTTTGAACAGCAACTTCAGATGGGCAACTAGCTGTGCTTATTTCCGAGGAAGTCTCTTGAGAGCCTCCCCCATACTGATCTCCTATCAGCACTCCCTTATTTATGTGCATACGCTTGAGGTGGTTCTCCATGAACTATCTATTGTTCGTCACAAAATCATTCCTGTCCACACCAACCTGTTCTCTTTGCTTGACAGCCTGGGCCACAGCTCCCTCACTTGTTACTTGGTCAAACATCTCTGTCCCCCGCCATTCCTAGTTTAAAGCTCCTCTCATCAAGTTGGCCTGTTACCAAAGGTGCTTCATTCTGTGAATTTATTTGTACTGCACCGTTGGTGCTGAATAATTCCTGGTAAGATTGAGCAGCCTTTCCTTTTTCCTGTGGAAAAATCAAATATAAGAAGATTCCCCCTGTGGATTTACCATGTAAAAATAGTATCTCATTCACTAAAGAGGATAAAAGCAGCTGTAACATACAACTGTAAGTTAAATACAGTGGTTGTGCATTTCTGTGTCTCAAGAATTTTTCAGATTGCAACTATTTTGATTTGTATAACTTTTTACTCAAAAAAGAAAAATAAAGCAAGTTAGGATATGTGTATGAAGAAATAGTTTGATTTTTAAAATGTGACATAATGGAACTGTGACTGAGTTTCCTTATATTTAAAAATCCTTGAATTTAACATGAGCAAACATGTTAACGTGTTCAGACTGTCCTGCAGTTCTTGGGTGGCTGCAAGGTTTAACACTGCCCCCCACACCCCCCATCCGCTCCCCTTTAGGGTATCACTCAAAGCCTGATAAAGTCAACAAAAAAGATTCCTGTTGACCTTAACACACTTTGTGGGCAGACCATTAGAGAACATATAATGCGGTGCATTCTCAGGTGACAGACAGATAACTGAATTGATGTTTGCATACAAATTCAACAGCAATATAGCAGAGTGGTCTTGGCAACAGTGCTACCAACAATTCCAACAGTAACTGAGGTTTCAACATTATCCCGTGTTCTCTCCTTCCACAACAAAATGAAGATCTGATTGGAGAACCTGTGCAAAATTAATATAATAATTTTAATACATTATATTATGCATAAAATAATCTGTGTCATAACTGCAGTGCAAAGATGTGCTGCTGTGCTAGCAAACAGAATTAAATTAGTACACGTGAAGTACATACTGCAGTTGTACTTTGATTTTGTTACATAAAGAGCCCTTAATGCACCTCTGCCTTTTTTAATTTTGAGGAGCTACTTTACGTCTTGTTGAGAACAGTAGGACTTAAATGCTGCTAAGTAAGCACGTCCTTAAGTGTTCTCCTCTATTGGCCTGTTAACAGGCTTTTTAAACAGTGCTTTTTTTAACAACATTAAGTTGTCTGACTTTGCTGTTGTGGTACATGTGAATTTCAATTTTTATGTAACTATTCAGAAGTTGTACCCTGAGTGAATAATCAACATATTATGTAGTAGCACAGGTCTGAAGAAATGTTTTTGGCAAGTTCCCTTAAAATGGTTTCTTTGTCATTCTTCGGTTTCTCATGAAAACACAACAAAGTGGGTATTGGTGCTTTCCTTTTGTATGCTAATCTTTGACTGGACTTCTCCAGCAGTGTTATAAAAACGTGATGATAACTCCTGTTGTTAATGATAATTCTAGGCATAGAGAAGTCACATATGTGTTGGAGGTCACCAAGAAAATTCTTTGAGGAAGTAAGGATGAAAATTATTTGGAGTGATAAAGTTATATTTCATACATATATTAGTATGTAATACTAATGTGAAATGTGCTTGTGAATTAAACAGGTAATTAAGTAGAAAATATATAAAAAGGAATTAATGGAGTAATCTGAGCAATTAACGTGTTACAGAAAATATTTGAAGTTTTTAATCATTGTTTATAATAAGTAAGAGTTACTGATATTTGATTATGCCTTAATGTATAAGATCTATCAGCAATACAGTAAAATTTGCAAGCAGACTGATTATATTAGATTTATCTTATGGTTGCATTACAACATGATTCCTATTACTGTTTTTATAGAGCTTTTATTGTTATATTACATAGCACACAACAATGTTTACTTACTTTGCATATGGTTATTCCAGTATACTATACCTGCAGACAAAAAGTAATTTATCAGCAGACATACTTCATGTGTCTAGGGAGCAGATGCATTTCGGAAAAGAGGCTTGCGTTATACATAGTCTGCAAGTTAAGAAAAACTTACCTTTTTTTCTGATGGCTCTAGTTTAAAAAAACAAGATTAAACTTATTTTACAGTCCATGTGTTCTAAATATTTTACGTTTTGACACCTACTGCTAAAGAGTTAACTGAATATTGATCAGAAAGTGTTGATGCAGTAGAGAAAATCCTTTTATTTTAGAGCAGTTAGAACGTTAGAGGGAAATTGAAAAGCATTCTATTTTGAAACTTAACTGTTTTGTAGATATTTCGCAAAAGTAGGTGATAAATATTTTATATGTCACTTCTAGTGTTTATAAGGCAATTGACAGAAAGATAAATGAAAATAGGAAGCTCATTATCTACAATAAAATTATTTGAACACAGTTGTTTAACGGAGATCATTGTTATTTTTCTTAATTTCTCTTTACTGCTTGTTTTGCACAGGAAGGAGTTACAGGAGCTGCAGAATCTTTACAGACAAAACATTAAACATACAGCACAGCAGGCTGAGCTGATAAAGCAACTTCAGGCTCTCAATACTGACACACAAAAAGTACTCAAAGACCAAGAAGATGCTCACACAGCTGAAACAACGTCACATCAAAAAGTATGTGATTCTGCTTTATGATCACAGGGTTCATTTTAATATCTATCTGTACAATATCAGTGGACAGAGTACTCAAAGCATTGTGTAGTGTTGCATTCTTTAGATCTTTGGATATTTATTGTTACCAAAATATGGTTGGCACAGTATCAGAGTTTATTGGCCTAATTACATCCCAGCATATATAGCCCCTTGCTTACGTTGGATTGATGAGCCTTAAAAAATAAGATTTAGCTGCATCTGAAGAAAATGGGAGTGAATTGCGAAGCATATAAATTTCTTTATGTAATTTTGTGTTATGTATGTTTTTCTTCTTCTTTGTCTCCTAGAGCTGTCAATTAGTAAATTCTCCAATCTGTTTTTTGGTAATTTAGAAGAATAAATTACTTTAATTGTAAATAATGTATTTATGTGAATCTCAAACAATTTCACTGGTTTAAGATGTAAAAACCTGCTCTGTCAAAATCAACTGGAAAAATTGTTGTGATAATAGCTTTTTAAATGGATAACTAATTTAAAATTTTTTAGCTATATTTACATTTACAGAACAGATTCATATTTTTTATGAATGCCAGGAAAAACACTAACCCTGACATGTGTACTACTCAGAATTTCTCCTTCAGAGTGTAGCAAATTATACGGATGTGTTTTTCAGTCTCTAAGAAATACAGGAGATATGTTTCCTTCCTTTTTAGAAACGTTGAGAAGGAAGAAGACAAGGAAGAAGTTGTGTATGCAACTTTCACATACCTTCTACCAGTCTTGGAACTGTTCTCACAAATTCTGTACTGTCAGTGCTTTTTCAAAAAGCAGGTGTTTCCCTTTATCATCTTACTTAGAGTATGCAGTCTGTGATAAAATTGTGAAGCTGGGCCTAAGCCAAGCCAGAATCAGGACTGGGTTTCTGAAGATGTCTTTGGTTAACATTTTGTAGCACATAGTGCCCAGCACATTCTTGGGTACTTAACTCTGCACAAGTTTGCCATTGACTGCAGTGATGAAAGACATTAAGTCGTTTTATTTACTACAATAGTAGCCCAGCCAAGCTACAGGTAGACTTCCATCAAAGTTGTTCAGAATATGTACAATGCAGGGGGAGTTCTACCTATCTAGGGCAAGACAAAGTGAATTATAGAGCTTAAAAGAAAGTACAGAATGTAGGTATCAGGAGTTGGTATTTCTTTCATTTTTCATTCTCCAGTCAATGCTTCTATAGGTGTTAAATGGATCCTTTGAGTCACTCAAAAAAAAAAAAAAACAAAAAATTGACACAGGTGAAGACAATATGAACTCTCTTCATCAGTGTTTATAAGACAGTCTTCTTCCAGACTAGTTCTACGACATATGAAACAATATAAAACTGGGTTTTCATGAGGCTGTTTTAAAGCTCTTCATAAAGGTCACTTTACCTTGCATAACAGTGATTTTGCCAATATTACTTAGTTCAATTTAGGAAAATGTTTAACCTATCCTATGAAAAATAATTTTGCTATTTTAAGTTACTTATGTATTATGGAAAATTGATGGTTATACTTATGTAGCTGTAGGGGCAAGCTGCTTCTAAACTGGGCTTGACTCAAAATTCAGGATAGCTTCAGAAAGCTGGTTCACAGTTCTTGGTCTGTCTTAGCAGAACTTAAGACTTTGCTTAGTGGATCATACAACAAGAACAAGAATACTGTGGTTTTGAAGATTAGTCCTGTTTTGTAATGGCTGCCAAATACTTCAACTCATAGATGACCCTAAAATTTGCTGGTTTGGAATGTTGAATTTAGTATTTTTCCAACATGGAGGAGTAAGGTTTGCATCTTAAACCAGCAAAAGCTATCTCAAATATTCTGACAAATTACTATTGTGGAAGTGCTAAGCTGTCTTTTTGTAAAATATCAAAATATCTAATACACCTGGAAGAAATATGTTCTTTTACTTTTTTTATAAAAATATGTTAAAAAAAAAAAACAGTAAAAACTAGTGTGTTGAAAAAAGTAGTAAAAAAAAAAAAGTTATGTTCCCTAAGCCAGAGTGGAATAGATCAAAGAATGTTTTTTGTGGCAAATTTTGTTGAGAGAACTTCGGGGTGGAAAAGAAGTTCCTTTATCATGATAATCCTGTTCTGTACTTCTGACTAGAAGAACTTTATAAAATACCCAGCTGTAATTGCTTCAAAGTAACATGCATCTTCCAAATCGCAAGATACACAGTCCTACTGAAGTCACAGCAGGCCTTTGGAAAACTTAGCGTCTATAAAAATAATACAAATGCCTATTTTTCCCTTGAATGAGAAAGGCAAACTATTGCAGACAAATGTGTGTTCTGTTTGTCTTCCATGCATTAATAGTATGCAGGCTGCAACAGCTAGATAAGAATGTGTCAGCTATTCCATAGACATATTCACAAAGGAATATTCTACTGCTGCTCCAAATGGCATTGAGCCTATCAGTGTGTACATCCTGTGATATATTGTCCCTTACAGCAAGATCAATGACCTCTCTGTTAGTGGTCAGATAGACAGTATATGTTATAGCTCAGGCGATGTGGTTGGCTCACGTATTCCAAATTCATCTTAACAGTCTACCATTTAGGAAGAACTGCTCTTTGTGCTGATGTTAATGTATAGTACGGAACAGGAGACTGAATAAAAAAAAAAAAGCATTTCTGATAAACTAGATCAAGGTCATGAACTTGCACTGGATTATGTGTAAATCCATTGAGGATCACAAATTCTCTTCCAAGTCTAGCTGTAGTAGGCAGCATACACATGTGAAGATCTGTAATCTGCTTTATCAAGTTGTGTTGACTTGACATAGTAGTACCTTTTTTTTTTCTTTAAGTACAAATTTTAAGGGTGCTGTGTTCTACAATAATGCCTTTGCATTAGAGCATTTATTGAAACAAATTGATATCATTTCATATGGCAGCTGTAGTTCGCATTCTCAAGGATAGGAAATATTTTTCTAAAATGTATAGCATCTGTTTTAGTGGTCCCAAATGCTCTGGGGACTCCATTCCTGTGCTGGATTTAATGAGACTCAATAGATTTGTCCTCACCAACAATTTCAAGGTGGAGAGACTTCAATCAATACTAGGGATAATAAGACAAGAAGAGATTCTGAACTCCTTAGCCAGCTTATCACAGTTTTCTGAAATTTACAATTTAGGGCCTTTGTTTTTATAATGCAGTACTTTCCCTTGATCTGATGCAGCCTTTAGGTTCCTTGTTAACCGTACTAATTAAAAATCACTTAGTGGAAGGCCCCTTTGGTGAAGTGGAAGTACCGTTATTTGTCATTGAATAGGAAATTGTAATTCATGTCCTGGTACTCAGCTCCTGGAACAACAAATAGAGAAAACTGGATAATGGTACAGTACATGTCTGTGTTTAAAAGAAAGTATTGCTCAATAGTTAGATTTTTGGCGTAATTGGAAAACACAGTAAGAGTTTTCAATTATGAAGCATTGCAGAAGTCTGCATCAAGTGCACCAGAAAGCAGATAAAATAGGATAGTGTCAGATACATTTTCAGATGTTGTAGTTAATTTTGAGCTTGTAGTTACCTTTGCTAGTCCTTCTCATGGTGTTGGTGTGTGGAAATAGTTTGCTTTCCTTCAAGCCTGAGAAATTGTAATTAGAATGTCAAGTTACTGGCTTTGCTATCCTAAGGCTAAATTTTACCACCTCCAGTCTTTTTTGCGACTGCAACAGCCTTTAAGCATAGTTAAAAATCACGCTAATGTGTTTATTTTTATGTAAGCAGCATTAAAATCACAAAATAAAAACGAAAACCATATAGGCGTGTAAATGGTAGTAACAGTGCATGTTCTCCCTCAAATTGGAATGAAATACCTAAGTTCGTTCACACATGTTAAGACCCGAGACAAACTAACTGTCCAGTCAAATATGCTGAAGTAGTAAGTGAATCCTCATTTTTGTAGACCACTTCTTTTAATAAAGATCATCTCACACTTTAGTTTAAGCTTTGATACTGTTTTCAATGGTTAGGAAGTGAGTTAATTAGGTTAGTGTATTTATTTCTTTTATACTAAACACCAGTACAGTTGGTCACATGCTAGCAAGTAGATTTTGGCATCAGATGTGCCCATAGGTCAAAGTTGAAGAAATCCTGGGTAGGCTGTGGTTCCCTGAGGTTGATGTTAAACTCTGCATTCTCTGGCAATGACTTTCATGCTTGAAAAACCCTGTACTGATATTCTTAGTGTGCTATAGTTCCTGTGCGTAGTGGTGTGGAGGGTATCTGCAGAATGCTTAAGTATTTGGAAAAAAAAGTAAATAATAATTCTAAATTGGCCCCTAATGTTTGCAGACCATTCTCTTAATGTTTCTGGCAATGATATTATATGTTTTTACAATATGAGAGCTGTAGATGAAAGGTACTATGTAAACTAGTGACACAGTGCAAGAGGACTTGTACGTCAAGAAAGGAAGAAAAATCTTAAGATTAAGCTTGCTTAAGTTTATTTTAGAGTAATGCCAATTTTGATCCAAGTTAGAATTATATTTTACTATATCTGAATTTTGTGTATAATTAGATTGGACTCACAATGGAGGATTTTAAACAATTCTGTTTGCAGTACGAATTATTAACAGTAGGGTTTGGTAGCATCTTATAGAGAAGTTGTTGCTAATAAAAACAGTCTTTCTAAGAGAAGTGTTTCAAAATCTTTATTTATTCAAAAAAGCAATCCACAAACCCCACCATTAGATAGCTATAATCCACATAAGGAGTTACACAAAACTGATTAGATGGATGAATAATGGAATGCTACATTAGTGCGGGGTGGGAGGAGAATCGGTCAGGAAACAGGAAATTCTGGATTCATTGAAGTAAATAGACTTATCAGTTTGAGTTTTTGCAGTAACAACACTAATCAAAAAGACTGAAATGTCTTTTTCTTTTATGTTCTCTCCTGTTATTTTAGAGAAGGTATATTGCTAAATTATCCATTCTACATGGTTTCCAAAACAACCATGGTATTTGCAATTATATAGTACCGTAAAGTTGGGGAAAGTGCATCTTCTCTTTTAGTTTATACTAGTGACTCTTGCTTACATGTTGTCTGATGTTACTTACATCAATTCTGTATTTTCTTTTGGTTTTCTTCTTAACCTCTCACTTGTGTCTGACATTTTTCTCTTTAATCGTAGGTAAGCTTCATGATTTCTCATCTTAAAAAGTCACTCTACCTCTGCTTTTCCATTTTAAAAATAAACGCCATGAATGTGCTGTATATAGTCTGTTTGGAGTCCCTCTTCAGTTTCACCCTAGAGTGTCTCCAGCTGATTTCTGCCCTTGTTCTTTTCAGATTCTCCTAAACAGCATGGTCCTGTAACATGGATTTCTGCAATGGTGCTGTAATTGTTTCCCTTACAGTTTTACTGTGTCTTAATTGAGACTAATTTTTTCATTTGTGTCATTGCTATATGTTCAATATTACTGTATGTTCAGGTTCATTTACTCAGGTCTCTGTAATACACTGCTTTTTAGGGTGTGAGCATTTAGATAAAAAAATTAATGTAGGAGAATATTTGTTTTACACCCAGTGTATATAATTGGCTACTGTTGCATTTTAATGGATGGATCAACCTTAGTGTTAGTTCCTCACAGGAGTATACTTTCGAAGGAAATCTCCTGGATACCCTCACTTTCTATGCTTTAGTTGATATCATAGAAAAGTCTGAGCGCATTATCTAAACGCCTTTTGGATTATGGAACTGGAAAACATGTCCCAGATGTTAATTGGCACTGAGTACACAAGACCAGTCTAAACCTAGTTTAAAATAAATCCTGCACGCTTGTAAAATGTTAGTGTTGGTCATTTGTATCAACTGTTTAACTGCAGTTTTTTACTACTTGCACTGTGATTCTGGCTAACATACAATATAATAGATCGCGTGGGTTAATTTTTTAGTTTTACTACGTTTTGTTGGAATTCCTCAGTTTTCCCTTGTCTGACGTAACTTAGTTTTGCCATCGTACATTTAACCCATTGTCAGGGTTTTAAATATTTGCTGTCACATGTGGGCAGGCTTTAGAGTCACCTCTTTAGTTTCTCTTGGAAGTCCTACCTTTGATCTGGCATTTTTAGGTTACTTGATGACATTAAACACACCTATTGTTCTAATGAAGTTTAGTGGTTTTAGTAACTCTTCGAAGATTTTGCAAGAAGTGTTTTTCTGGTTAAATCAGTTAAATCAATATAGGAAGTTGCTAGGGTAGCTAATAAATATGGGATACTTTATTTTTTGTAATTCAGCTAAGTTATTCTTCCTTCCTGACTGATAAATAATGGTCTTGTGTCATATAGACTAAATTTATTTCAGTGTACTGATTTTGGATATGTTTAATCTCTTTTTATTTGTTTTTAAGTACCATCGCCTGTAGCAGTCTATGTTGCCTGTCAGAGAAAGAACAGCTCTAAGACTTTGGAAGGAGGTTCTCAAAATGCAGTCAATGAAACAGTTTTTGCAGAGTAGGGTCTTGTGTTTCTGGCTGTTGCTTTTTTTTTTTCCCCAACTACCAAATTTCATAAAACATATAAAGAATGATTTAAAATATTTTCCTTTCTCTATCTTGTAAACATAAATGTTTTTCATATCTCTTCTTGGGCATTAAACAATTTCCTGGGTAAATCTCATGTTTTATTGACATCCATGCAAGGTATAAGCACTTATTTATGTACAGTCAAGATTTCACTCCTTCCTTTTTTCCATGAAGCTTGCTGTTTCTCAGATAAATAATTTAAAATATCTTTGTCTTTCTTTCAGATTTTCCATTTAATGTTCCATCTCTAGTCCTCTGATCTCCATTTTATGTCTTGTCTCTCTACACCTGACTTTCTGTATCTTTATTAATGGTAGACCTGTTTCACCATGTTGTGGAATTCTGTATGTTCTGGAATGTCGTTACTGCAGTGTGATTAAAAGTGTTGCCTCTTCTAAAACAGAAATGAGTAGAAAACCCCCAAATAATCCCATATAAACATTATGCATGTATTTAATCCACAAAACAGTGGATGGCCATAAATGAAAAGATAGGGAGCAAAATGGAAACTTGGAAGCTGTTCTAGTTGTCTGCAGACAGTAGATAAAACTATTTCTTTTCATACAGGTAATTTTCATTTTGAAATTTCCTGTTGCTAAATACCTGACAAAAAAAAATATAAAAATTAGAGTCCTATAAACTAGTACTTTGGTGGTATTTAAAAAATATATAAACCTCAGTGTAAAAAGATTAATGGTGTGAAGGTGGTTTTTGCACATAGCTTTTAGCTGGTTTTATACTTGAAATATATGTGTTTTGTTATTGCTGTTTTCAAAGCAGGAAAGGTTGGAAAAGTTTATGCATGTAAAAAGACATGCTATTTGTCTTGTCCTGACAAATGCTGACTACCAAAAATACCCATTAGCTACATTAGGGGATGTGGCTGCCAGCTAGAAAACAGCATCATATTTTTGATGTTCTCAATTCATCTTACTAGGATGTTACCTTTCAGATACTATAATTACGACCACTTAAGTGCTGCTAGTCATAAAACCAGCAAATTGTCATACCAGTATGAACTAATGAGCTTATATAGTTAGAGCTGGACGTAACCGTGTCTTGATGCTCCATTCGTTTGGAAGGACATTATCTAAAAATGAATATTTTTGATAAATGAACTGTTTCTTTTCCTGTGAGATACTTACTGATTTCCATAAGAAATTGGCTAATCTTGAACTTGCATTTCTAGATATGATGTAATCTTAAATATGTAAGAAAGATTTGGTAGGCTCAGAAATTTCAATGTGAAAGTTTAATTTTTAAGACTCAGAGTCATTCAAAATACCAATCTATCTGGACTTCGAATTAATTTTGCCTGAGAGACGTGATCTCTGATCTGCTTTGGAAATAGGCAAGAAGCAATTTACATTGTCCTAAGTGGATTTTGAGAGCCCCTGGGAGCAGAAAATTATAGGAGGAAGGAAAGGTAGGGAGATTATTGTTTCCAAATTTCTCACAAAGTATTAGGTAGACTGTTTCCAAATCTAAAAGCTGTGATTGTATTTCAAAGGCTTTAACTTCTAAGCAATGTAAGCAGACGAAAGGAGAAAGAAGTGTGTCATTTAAGTTGACAAGACAAAGTAAAATGAAGAGTAAAATGTTTTTACAAGTAAAATGACTTGTGTTAGTTCCTTGTACTTAGAAGCATTACTGATTTGGAAATTCCAATTTTCATATTTAATTAGTTTCTTTTGAATGGAATGGCAGAAATGGATTTTGCAAAGAAAACTCTCAGTTGTAGAAGTACATGCCTTCTACAGATTGTTATATGGTAGCATGAACAGTCAGAGGGAATATTGTTTGTTTTGAGAAAAAAGAACAATCAAAGGAATGAAAGACTGAAATTAAGAGAGAGGAATGTATGCTTAGGTAGTAAAGCTGCAGAGTCATGTATTTCTTTCAGAATCTGTACTGTTGTTTATTCACCTACAGATTTATTTTTCAAAGTTGTTTTTGTATTTTTTAAATAAAAATCTGGTTTTGTTTTACAAATTTTCAGATGTTTCTATTGAAAAAGAAAGGTAAAAATGGAAGGATGGGGTGGTTATTAAGTTCTCTTATTCTTGAAAAATAATCTCTTTGTCAGTTTGATGTCATGTACAGCTAATGATTACTTAGGTGTAGTTCTAGAAATCCTTTGTGTGTATGGAATCCCTTCTAAAGCAACTGCAGAATATATACAATATTCTGTTTTAGCAAGAGCAGTTGAGCAACAGCCAGGGATAAGACCTTCTAATATCATCTCTGGGTTTTATAGTTAATGTCAAAAAATTCCCACAGAATAATTATTTAAACAACCATTTTATACTTCGTACAAAATGCAGTAGGCATTAGTGGATTCACTATATTGCTGTCCAAGCTATATTAAAAATGTTAGTTTTAAAAGATCAAGTTACTCTATAAAAGACAAGGATGGTATTTGGTATTCTTGCTCCTTTAATTTCATTCCCAAGACAGATGTTTCAATTTTTTGCCTGTTAATTTTCTTTCTTTGGTATTTTGTGTATTTTATATAAACTGTTCAAGAAGTAAAATAAATCCTGATTTTTAGTTGTCCATTTCTATTCATAAATGCCATAAAAAAGCAACTGAAACTGATAATTAAAGTTACTTTTAATCCTGTTATTTCTCTTCTCCCTCTCATAGCTTTATAACGACTTGGCTTTATGTTTTGAAACTGTTAAAAAAAGTGAAATGCAACTGCAGCAAAGGTATGCCTCTCTTCAGGATCAGTTACTTGGAAAAGATCAAAAGATTTGTCAGTTACAAGAGCAACTTCAGCAAGCTCATGATGCCTTAAATGCAGTACATCAGAATTCTTCTCCAAAATATGAAGTACAGGTGAGTCCACTTCTAGAATAATAGAACCTGTTTCTTCTTGGTTTAAATTAAACTTCTGTTCTGTACTAGACAGTATTAAAGGAAATTGCAGGGTTGGGGTTTTTTGGGGTTTTATTTTTTTTAAAGAAAAACTGTGTAACTGTGCTGCTGCAGTACTGTGACTATTTCTGCTGCTGTTAATCAAAGATACTTCACAATTAAATCTGTCCTGGGAAAAAACAGAAATGGTGTAAGTATTCAAATAGACTCCTATTTATTTTCTCTAACAAAGACACCCAATACAAAAATAAGACTGAAGTGATTTTGTTCCTGGAATCAAATTCCTGGAAAAAGTTGTGAAATTTCTGCATTTCCTCTGTGAAAAGGAATTGTATTGATCCTGATTTGTTTCATTGTTCCTGACCATGCAATTAAACTTGAGGTCATAGATCTAAAAAAAGTATTACGGTGGGGAGAAATATTTGTCTAAAAAATTCTGAGCTTTCATGTGCCATTTGAAACTGTTATAATAAATCTGTCACTCTCACTAACAGGCCTCTCAGTTTACAAGTGTGCCACATCTTACACTTATACCCCTGGCATTTTCCAAAGGCCAGTTTATGACTTAAACTGAGTTTGAAAGGCTTTGAAATGATCTACCCACAATGGTTTTGTAGACTGTGTTTCTTAGTTTCTTCCATAGATTTGTCCATGAGATGTGCTTATGCACTCTTT